AAGCTGATTTTCGCCCCAAAATTAGGAGGCTAACGAAAAATGCTTCAGGTTGAATGTTGAATCGTAAAAGCGTTGAGTTGAAAGCCCGATGGTAGATTTTCCGATGAAAGGACTTTACGTTCTAATTTTAGGAATCTAAGCTTTATGCTGGGACAATAAGGTGTTGCGTAAGGAAGTGAATGGATACGAGTGATGAACTGGAAAGAGGAGAATGGTCATTGACAAAAAACATTGAAGAGCTCTTTTTAGAAGAGCATGATCTGGTGAGGACTGAAAAAGAGACAAAGTTCGAAAGCATCCTTGTTTTCCTATTCGATTGGCAGTGCTGTACCTTGGCTTTAACTTCAGGAGGAACATGCATCCTCGTTCCCTGATATGTGGAAGTAAGTGGGCTGTGTGACTGGCTGGGATCAGTAATTATTCCATTTAATAGACCCTCCAGACGGCAGGATTGATGGCCATCTTTACTGCAAATTTGCGTAATACAGCTTAGGCAGGGTTGTTCTGAGCTTCGTACTGCTTTGTTGTGCAGGGAATGAGTTGTGCCTACTGCCGTGGATTGCCCTCCGGATGAGCATGCTTCGAAACTAGCATTAGATATTTTCTAAGAAATAGTCAGCCTAAGTCGTTCAACTTTCCTCAGTGAAATGGATAGGTCTTCCTGTACCACTGCAAAGACTGTATGAAAGGCAAAGCTGGGGAAAATTCACTACCATTGTGAAGCTATCAGTCTTTCACTATTGGAAATTCGATTTTTAACGCTCAACTTACCATAAACGTTGTAAAATGACGAATTTTTGCATCCCGGTGCTTATACCAGCTGGCATCAGGACCTTGGTTGCTATCTCTTGCTTACTCACACTTGCATGCTGATTTTAACAGTTGTGAATAGATTTGCACCTGCTGTGAGATATTAGCATCGTAATTATACAACGGCTCTTGCACAGCTTCTCTGAACAGATGTTACATTTTTTGGCCATTATTTTACAAATGCTACGACATTGCTCTCTTTATGGGTGTTGGTCTATCAGCGTTAAGCTGACTTTGATTCCGCGAGAAGTTGTGTGGTAAAGGCGTTCGTGAGCCGGTCTCGCCAGGAGGCGAAGGCGGATTCCCATCGGTCCGTTATTATGGTTTCACTTTGCTGAGACGTGCATTCTGTTGCAGTCTTCGAAGCAGCCTTCTTTAGTTCCAGGAAGAGCGTGCCGAGTTTTTGTTTTTTATCTTACTTGACAAACTCAGTCTTATAACGACTTCAGGTTTACAACCTCTGTCTTATGACAGATAAAAGCTTAGCTCTTTTTCTCCGGAACTGAAGACAGATGCCTCTAGAATGAAGTCAGCATGAGCATCCATCTGAGATCAAATAACAGGATACCGAAGGGAATCTGCCGTCGTCTTCCGGTGGGATCGGTCAATAAGCATTTTAATCACGCAATTTCACAGGAAAGAAAAGTTAGCTCAACAATGCTATATCAAGAATTTCTTTCAACACCAGTTACTCTTCGTATAATTGACTTATTTAGAAGATATTTAGCTCTCAAAATTTTGTTTATGGTTGGATTTTATATTCACTTTAGTATCCCAATCTGATGTAAGAGACGAAATAATGTCTCCAGATGCCATCGTCCCTGATCATCGGCCACGATTACCTGACTCTTGTTCCGCCGACTCGCTTCACGCTTCCAAGTGTAAGCCTCGCGCCCGCGAATCTTGGAGACACAGTTCATCCAAGACCCATAATGAAGCGGCTATTTTGCATGGAAACTCACGATCGGATAGACTTGCTCTTCTTACGGAGATCGACGAGCTGCTGGAGGAGGCCGTAGTGGCTCTGACCAAAGAGGCAAGGGCGTGTGCAGAAGAGTTGGAAGCCGGAGGGTATTACGAGGCAAGACAGGCTGATGAGGATGAAACTGCCACGGATGAACTTGATGATGAGGCAGAACAGGACGAAGACGAGGACGAAGATGATGGTGGAGAGGAGGAGGAAGGTATTGATTTCTGTGATCCAGTCCAGGGTGAAGAGGAAAGGGAGGAGGAAGAGGAATGTGACGAACCGGAACAGGGAAATCAGGGTGAGATCAATATGGCGATTTCCTCTGCCAAATCTACCAAACAGCATCGACGACCAAAAACAGTGAACAGCTTCGGAGCCACTAGCATCAACAGCGAGAGCTGTATCAAGAATCCTGCCAACTTGGATGGAGGTCGGCCTGAAGAAGATAGCCAGTTCTATCGCCTGGAGCAAATACGTGATGAACTGGAAAGTCAGCTTGGAACAGAGAAGCTCATCTCTGCCTACAGCCTGATTCAGGTAAGCTGGCATATCCATCAATTTTTTATTATATGTTAATTCTATACGGGCAGTGGTACATTATTCATTGGAAATAAAGTATCTATTCGAATATTTTTAAATCTCGAGAAAGCGTGCAAAATGCATTTCATTTGAAGAAACGAATGAAAGAGATTCATAAGTTGGCCCTACTGGAAGTTGGAGGGTGATTACCTTGGAGCCGTGACTAAATTTGTGCCAATAAGTCCTCGGCTCACCATCCTCTGACACCGTTAAATCTTTCCTGAGTGGACGAAAGCTCAGCAGGTATTTATCGGGGTCACTGGATGGATGACTTATTCGCCCAAGTCTACACTCAGCTTCAAAGCCAATTCAACTTTCCGATCTAAGAATGCTCCAGTAAGGCCAATCGAGAGCTGGTCAATAAGAATCCGACGTCGTCTTCTTGTTAGGACGACCTTCGAATCTCTCCACCGAATACTTTCATTCGAAATGGAAGTAAGCTCAATAAGTAAATATAATAATCTATTACTAAATACCTGAGAACATGACAAATGTATCGTGAGCAAAGAGCATTGACTGTGATTTTATTCGGTCCCACTATAATTATGGACTGAGAGGCGGCCTATTTTAACCCAATTGTCAGCCGCGCTTCAATTTGCTGATTAATTGGGCATTTTCCCCATTGACCTGCGCGTCTTATTTTCACTCTAATCCAGAGATGCTGATGAGGCCTAGACACATTCAAAACTGCAGTCCATTTCAGATGAAAATGCTTTTCTGGCCTATATTATAATGTAGCAATTCAATTAAAAAACGACGTGACATTTGCGGGCATTATATTATCTTCTGATTAGCCAGCACCAGTAGCACCAACTGCATCAAGAACTTGGCTTGATAACAAATTAGGTACCAGATTTACATTTTATGAGCATGATAACATTATTGGTCGCTTGGTGTTTTTGTGATTTTTGTTCTATCAAAAATGAATCTTTTGGGAAAAAAAACTTTTCGAATTTGTGTGCAGAAACATGGCCTGATACGTAAACTATCTCAGCTTATTTAACTACAAACATATAAAATAGCGAATTCATAGGGCCGGAAATATTATGAAAGTTTGTGAATTCCAAATTAATTGTACATATTTAAAGTAACTGGTTTTTGAGGGGTCTACTAAAATTGAATTTGACTTCATATGAAATTTGTGATGAAAATATTTGCAAGTTTATTTCACCAGAAGTGGACTGGATTCACCTCGGTCTGAAGTAATTAGATTGTACTGTGACGTTAAGGCTGACACATTGCTCGAGAAACCCTTCTTCAGTTCCGGTGAAAACCTGTTGAGCTTTAATCCTTTGTGTCATTTGCCACTTATCATCAGCATTGGAACACATTCTTATAACCACTTTTAGCCTACTCGTCAAAAAGACTAACCGGCTTATTATTGAGTGTTATATATAATCATACGGAAATTTTTGAAAATGTATAAACTGATTGGTTTGCTAAATTTCATATCCAATTGTGCTTTTGCGTATGTGAGCTGGCATGAGTGTTTATGAAGAGAGGGGATTCGAAATCACCACTAATTTCCCAGAATAAACACAATAACGTGTAACATATTTCCAAGGTCATCGCAACTCAAGCAAACTCAGCTCTGGGATTACAAAATTCTGGACGTCCACCTGGTTAGGTTGATGAGCTCCATATATGTGTACAAGGCCAAGGAAAAGCGATAACCATACAGAATAGTTAATTTGCCCTCTTTTTTAAAGGTTACTCAACACTTGTAAATAAGGGGCATAATCTGAAATGTAGTCATTTGTAAAGTAATAAACGGCAAGAAAAATTGCTTGATTTAAACAAGGGAAGATGATGGGCCATTTTACTGCCCAAAGGTGTGAACCTATGTATTTACTTCGTGGTAGCTGAAACATTGTGTATACAAATACATTTTTTTAACAATTATATGTTAATATTGCACTTATGATTACATAAAATTTACTTGCTAATTTTGCTTTTAGCGAATTAGAATATCCGAAAATATTCATAGATCTGTATCAAAATAATGTTCACATCTGCTTAGTCTATGCGATGAAAGGCCTCTTTATATGACTAAATTGCCTTATAAAAGGCTTTCAGGAATACGCCTGGGAGGCATAAGCCGTACTCGTGGTATGCAAATCTGTGTAATTTATGTCAAGCTGAATGTCGTTGAGGCGTAAAGCAAATGTGGCCTTATTCTTTTATAATTATATGTCGTACCTTTGTCCGATATTTTTGCACGATATCCTATGATTCTTAATATATACATTTAGAGTTAAAGACTTAATCTAAGCGGAAAAAGCAATACAATTTCCACTGATTAGGACCTTCAAGGTGAGGATTAATCAGAATTCTACCCATATAATGATAAATTCAGGGTTTTCCATGTCTAGCAGGTACATTTGTCACCAACGCATCCCCACCAGGTTTGAAATCTCCTGCAAGCAGAATCCTCTGCGAGCGTTTCCTACTCGCGAATTTCCCAGAGGAGAGACAAAATACCATAGTCGGTCGCAGTTTATTGCAGACAAAGATGGGTTTCTGTGATATCTTTGAGTAGACGAGGCACTGTCCCAAAGATTAATTATGCCTTCAAAAAACGCTATCATATAAAAAGTTGTTGGACCTTATTTTCACAACTTTGTCATATTGGAAGGAAGACTTAGGAACTCACCTAGTCTGGAGTCCATTGTATGCATGATCATTTCCAAAGTCAGACCATGGACGTGGTATATTCCCAGACGTTTCGCCGGCATCGTCAGTGAGTCTTGCAATTCTTAGCCCCATTCTACAACTTATCAAAAAGTCAGGTGAAGCCGATCCTTTGATAAAATGTGTGCTAGACAGTTGTGGTATGTCTCCTATCCTGGGATATTTACCAATCCTATATCCTCGTATCACGCATTCACTATCACAATTTTTCTCCTCCTTATTTAAATATACTGTGGTGTGCCCTTTTGAGCGGCATTCATCAAAACCCTTCACACTCCACTCTGGTGTTCTCACCCCCCTTCACAATTGTGCTGGGAATGTTAATCAGAGTCTGCTATATTGTTACGCAGTCCTCCTTCCCAAGGTATTATCAGAGTCTCCTTCTTGCCCCGTAGAATCCGTCTGCTATCCTCCTGTTTAATGTATTTAACTCGACCCCTGCCGCCCAATCTGTGCTACCCGAGGCGGTATTTCCCCTCCCCTGCGTCGGGGTGACTAATTCGAGGCTAAAGCCTCTGAGTATGTCTCATCGTCACGCCTTTGCTACATGGACCACTTCTCTGGTAAAACCTACTTTCAGCCAACTGGCGCCAATCTTCGTCGCGTCTATCCTGTTTCTATGTCCAATACCAAGTCTATGACTTGTCATGACCTAGCCTCTTGTGTGCCAACCCACAAATGTTGTGGTACTGCTTGATTTGATTAGGTTTCATGTTGAACCACACCGTTTGTGGGTTGGCACACAACAGACTAGGGCATAGTAAGTCATAGACTTGGTATTACGA